CTCTCCTAGAGGCTGGCATTGGCTTTATCTTTCACCTTCTTATTCTTAGGAAGACCAAAAGGTATATGCTTTAGTTTCTGATAAAACTAATTAAAAAAAAAAACCTTATTGAGAATTTCATACATGCAAATAAGGTGTTTTGATCAAATCCATACCCACTCCCTCCCCTCCAACACCTCCCATATCTCCCCATCACTTTTTTCTGACAACTTCTTGTATTTTTTCTTTTCTCTTTCTTTCTTGAACTCTTAAAGAAATATACTGATGACTTTACTCTTTGGTTATACTTTCCTTCTGGGTGTTTAAGACCATACAATTTGCCCAAATAAACCAATTTATTTTTACTCTTCAGGTGGCTGGAGGATCTGTTCCTTAGGGGTCACATGGGCTTGGGAGGAGCCATTGGTTCCTTTCTTTTACCAGTTCCATCTACACGTGAAGATAAGTCAAAGGTCCTACTTGATCATGGCTGGCTTTACTTGGAAGCATGGAGGAAATGTTTCCTCTGTGTTGACCCTCCTCTTTGTAGACTAGACACTGGTTCAAGGCCATTTGGTGGGGTCTCCATGGCCTCCCTGAACAAGAGGACGGGTGACTCAGCAGAGTTAGTTACAGGATATTTTGAGAGATGTTCCATAGTCCCCTGGAACTTAGTCGACCTTGGAGGGCAAGGAGCAAAAACTATCCTTTAAGTCCCTCTGACCAGATTAGTATAGGCCTCAAAGCATGGCTGTTAAACATCCAAGAATATTCCACCAGTCTGGTACTTTTAATTACCACGTGATATGTAGATAAAGCTTGGGCAAAAACCAAACGTTCTTAGATAAACCTTGTCTAGATATATAGTTTGTTCCTTAAACTAGTTGACTAAATAAACTATGACCTTAGAAATTTTAAGATTATGTGTATATTATTTTTTCTCATCCTTTATCTCTTGATATCCTTTATATATCAAACCTACACAGACTCTCGTTACTTGCTTAGGCTTTCTCATTTTTTTCTATTTTGGAAAATATCTCCATTCCCATATCCTTTTAACATCTTTTACATTCTCATTTTCTTTTTTAATAATTATGAGACATAATAACATTAACAAATAAATTTCCTATCTCTTGTGAGAATTCTTTTACTGGGATACTAAGCAATGTTTATCCCCTTCTAAGGTTCTAGTGTCAAACCAATGTTTGATTAAAGTTTTCCTGGGGAACCAATGAATTTACTGAGCTTGCTTACAGAGATGACTGAGAGGTTGCTGAGGTGTATGTATGACCTGGGGATATGCACACTGGAAAGCCTTTCCCCAGCATGGATCAAACCTTCTCTTCCTGGCCTTCCCCAGATTATATACTTTAGCCCTCCCCAAATCCAGAAGACCATGTGTGATTAGAGCCAAATTACATACAGTTGGCTGGGAAGAGTGGCTGGCTACTCTGGTGAGGGTCCAATGACCCTGCTTGTCCCTCCTTTAATGAAGGAGCACAACCGTTAATAAGCCCAATTGTGATGATGTTTAGCAATCAGGCACAGCTGAAGCCGTGATGATGGTAGTTATTTCATAGAGACTGCTGTACAGCATCATCTTATTATAAGGACATGGAATTTGGCCAGGCGACACCTTTAATCCCAGCACTTGGGAGGGAGAGGCAGGCAGATCTCTGTGAGTTCAAGGCCAGCCTGGTCTACATAGTGAGTTCCAGGACAGCTGGGGTTACAGGGAGACCCTGTCTGAAAAAGACCAAAAAAAAAAAAAGGACATGTAATGTAAAAGGATTTGGTGCTAAGATCCACAAATGAGGGAGAACATTTGTCTTTTGTTTTTCTGAGTCTGTGTTACTTCACTTAGTCTCATGTTTTAAAATAACTTCCCATCAGGAAAAAAAAAAAATTCTCTCCAAGAGGCTGGCATTGGCTTTATCCTTCAACTTCTTATTCTTAGGAAGACCAAAAGGCATATGCTTTAGTTTCTGAAAAAACTAATTTTTAAAAATGAAATTGCTGCATTTCATCAGTGTTACTCTTTCAAGGGAGCAAATTTTGAATGCTGTCTGGCACTGACTCTGCTTTTGAATGTTCATCTTACTTCCCTAATAGGATTATAAATTTCTTGAAGGCTGTGCCTTGCTTAGAATTAGAATTTCAGAGACAGAAGTGTTGCAACCTCTATATTTTCCAGTTAAATAAAGAATTCAAGATGAAATCAAAGCCCTTTGTGTCTCCCTCAGCATATGATAATTAGCTTTCCTGTCCTACACAGTACCTAACTCATCATCTCAATAGGGTGATACTGCCTTCTGAGGAGTAAAAACTGACCCTTGGCAGGTAAAAAAAAAAAAAAAAAAAAAAAAAAAA